GGTTCAAATGATTTTCATGCCTCAGCCTCCTGAGTAGCTGGGATTACAAGCATGCCATCCCACCCAGCTACTTCCTGGAGGTAGAAGCCTTATCTTACAAGCTCAGTGCCCTCTGATGATGTCTCGGATCATGATAAAAGTTTTTTTTCAAACTTTTTCTCAAAAGTTTGTTGTTGTTGTTGTTGTTGTTGTGTTTTTTAGTAGAGATGAGGTTTTGCTATATTGACCAGGCTGGTCAAACTGACTTTTGATGCTTAATGTCAAGATGACAGTGATGGTGTCACATTGGAAACAGATGAAAAAAGTAGAAAACCTCAGCAAAGATCCAGAAGACTTAGCAAAGTAATAGAAGGTACAAAGAAGAATCAAATGAAAATTGTATAACTGAGAAATATTATACAACGGATGCGTTCGACAGCATATGGAGAGGGCAGAAAGATCAGTGAACTGGGATGTGGAACAATGGAAATTACCCAATGTGAACAACAGAGAGAGAATAGACTGAAAAGGTAAATAGAGCTGCAGGGATGGGGGAATTACAGCAAAATATCTAACATCTGTGTCACTGGGATGTGTCACCGGAATTATGGAAGGAGATGAAAAAGAGGGTGGGGCATACAATTATTCAAAAAAATAATGGCTGAAAACTTCCCAAATTTGGCCATATATGTGTGTGTGTGTGTGTGTGTTTGTGTGTATGTACATATATATGTATATATATGGCTGTATATGTGTGTATATATACACATATGTATATACCTACACACACACATATATAGCCAAATTTGGGAAGTTTTCAGCCATTATTTCTGTATATGTGTGTATACATACATATACATATGTGTGTATATATATACATGTGTGTATGTGTGTATATATATACATGTGTGTATGTGTGTGTGTGTATATATATACATGTATATATAAAAATCTACAGAACTAAGAAGCTGAGTGAACTCCAAATATTACTAGTATTAAACCAAATAAATCCACACCAAGACATATCATGGCCAAACTTCTCAAAACAAAAGACAAAAAAAAAAAAATCTTGAAAAAGATTTTTTCAAGAGAAAGAGAAATGAACCTTACCTATGGAGAAAAAATAATTCAAATGATCTCAGAGTTTTCACCAGAGACTACGGAGGCCAGAAAGTAGGTACATAACATTTCTCAAGTACTGAAAGAAAATAACAGAATTCTATATCCACTGAAATAAGAACCAAGGGGCAATCAAGACCTTCTCAGATGATGGAAAACTAAGAGAATTTGTTGCTGGCAGACCTAGTCTGAAAGAATGATTAAAGGAAGTTCTTGGCCAGGTGTGGTGGCTGATGCCTATAATCCCAACAATTTGGGAGGCCTAGGCTGGTTGATCACCTGAGGTCAGGAGTTTGAGACCAGCCTGGCCAACATGGTATAACCCCATCTCTTCTAAAAGTACAAAAAATTAGCCGGGCATGATGGTGGGTGCCTGTAATCCCAGCTACTCAGGAGGCTGAGGCAGGAGAATCACTTGAACCCAGGAGGTGGAGGTTGCAGTGAGCTGAGATGGCGCCATTGCATTCTAGTCTGGGCAATAAGAGCAAAACTCCACATCAAAAAAAAAAAAAAATTATATCTGATAGTTGAAGCAAATGTTAAAACTTTGATGTGGTAGAACCATACATTTAGAAAATGTATGTAGAGAAAATATTGAAAGCAGTGTTTTAAACTGGGTAAGGCAAAGGGGCATGAAGTAAGGTTTCTATACTTCACTGGAATTGGTAAAATGGCAATACCAGTGGATTATAACTTATAAGTTATGTACATACAATGTAATACCTAGAACAATTACTAAAAAAAGCCATGCAAATCACAAACAAACAAAATGCTAAAAAACCAGACCAAGGCCCTGGATAGACATTTCTCCAAACAAGATATAGATGACCAGTAAACACATGGAAAGATGTTCAACATCAATAATCATTAGAGAAACGTACAACAAAATCACAATGAGATACCACTTCACACCTATTAGGATGGCTATTTAAAAAATCACAGAAAATAAGTGTTGGTGAGGATGTGGTGAAACCGGACGCCTTGCGCACTGTTTGTGTGAATGTAAAAAAGTGCAGCCTTTGTGAAAAACAGTATGGCCATTTCTCAATAATAATTTTTAAAAAGCACAGAATTACCTTATGATCCAGCAATTCCACTTCTGGGTATATACCCAAAAGAACTGAAAGCAGGGACTCAGACAGATACTCTTTGTACACCCATGTTTATAGCTGCATTACTCACAATAGCCAAAAGGTAGAAACAACCCAATGTCTATCAACAAATGAATGGATAAACAGATATGGTATATCCATACAATGGAATATTATTCAGCCTTAAAAAGGAATTATGACACATGCTACAACATGGATGAGCCTTAAGGACACAAAGCTAGTCACAAAAGGATAAATATTCTATGATACCACTTGTATGAGTTATCCAGATTAATGAAATTTAGAGACAGAAAGCAGAATGATGGTTTCCACAGGCTATGGGAGGAGGGAATGAAGTTATTTTGTAATGAATACAGTGTTTCAAAACTGTAAAATGATTTCTTTTTTTTTTTTTTTTGAGATGGAGTCTGTCTCTGTCACCCAGGCTGGAGTGCAGTGGCACTATCCTGGCTCACTGCAAGCTCTGCCTCCTGGGTTCATGCCATTCTCCTGCCTCAGTCTCCCAAGTGGCTGGGACTACAGGTGCCCGCCACCACACCCGGCTAATTTTTTGTATTTTTGGTAGAGACGGGGTTTCACCATGTTAGCCAGGATGGTCTCCATCTCCTGACCTCGTGATCCCCCCTCGACCTCCCAAAGTGCTGGGATTACAGGCGTGAGCCACCGTGCCCAGCCTCAAAACTGTAAAACTTCTGACAAACTTGTCCAACCTGCCTTATTTTGTTGTTGTTGTTCTTTTTTTGTTTGTTTATTTGTTTTAGGCTTTTAGCAGCCTGAAGCCATGGTTTTTAGTTTCTGTTTCTAGTGATGAGTGGAAAAGAGGGATGAGGAAGGGGCTTTACTGGCCCAACCAGAAACAGAAACTGAGAAAGTGTATTCTCTCCTTTGGACATCTCTGTGAGAACAAAACAAACTAAACACATGAGAAACTCTTTGGGATCTAAGGCTATGCAGAGAGCTTAACCCGATGATCCAAAGGAACAATTTGATAAATTTAACTACATCAAAATTAGAAATGTTTGCTTGGTGATATATAGTTAAGAGGCTGAAAAGACAAACTACAGATGGGGAGAAATATTTGCAAACAACATGACTGACAAAGGACATCTAGAATTTGCAAAGAACCCTCAAAACTTAACAGTAAAATACCAAATAATACAAGTAGAAAATGGGCAAATGACAGGAAAAGATAGTTCACCAAAGAGGATATAGAGATGGCAAATTCACATGTGAAAAGATGTTAAACATCACTAGCCGTTAGGGAAATATAAATTAAAACCACAAGCTATCACTACATCCCCGTCAGAATGGTTAAAATAAAACAAACAGTGACAACACCAAATGTTGGCAAAGATGTGGAGAAATTGGATGATTCATACGTTGTTGATGGAAATGCAAAATAGTACAATCACTTTGGAAGACAGGTTGACAGTGTCTTAAAAAGCTAAGCATTGCAAATACTGGGCAACCCAGAAGTTGCACTCCTGTATGGTTACCTGAGAGTAAATAGAAGTGAATAGAAGTGACTCACCCACCTTAAAAAAATAAATAAATAAATAACTCAGCTGGGTATGGTGACTCACACCTGTGATCCCAGAACTCTGGGAGGCTGAGGTGGGTGGATCATGAGGCCAGGAGTTCAAGACCAGCCTGACCAAAAATGGTGAAACCCTGTCTCTACTAAAAATACAAAAAAAAAAAAAAAAATTAGCTCGACATGGTGGCACATGCCTGTAATCCCAGCTAAAAAAAAAAAAAAAAAAGAAGAATTGCTTGAACCTGGGAGGCAGAGCTTGCAGGGAGCCGAGATCGCTCCACTGCACCCCAGCCTGGGTGATAGAGTGAGACTCCATCTCAAAACAAAACAAAAAAAAAGAATAACTCATCAACAGCAGTAACTCCCATTGAGCACATGCCCTGCCAGACACTGCACTCATCACATTACCTGTGTTATCTCATTTAAACTTCCTAACAACCTTCTTGTCTGGTGTAGACTATTTTTTTAAATTTAACTTTTATTTTAAGTTCAGGGGTACAGGTGCAGGTTTGTTGTATAGGTGAACTTGTGTCGTGGAGATTTGTTGTACAGATTATTTCATCATCCAGGTATTAAGTCTAGTGCCCATTAGTTATTTTTCCTGATCCTCTGTCTTCTCCCACCCTCCAGCCTCCGAAAGGCTTCAGTGTCTGTTGCTCCCCTCTATGTGTCCATGTGTTCTCATCATTTAGTTCCTGCTTATGAGTGAAAACATGAGGCATTTGGTTTTCTGTTCCTGTGTTAGTTTGCTAAGGATAATGGCCTCCAGCTCCATCCATGTTCCTGCAAAAATCATGATGTCCTTCTTTTTGGTGGCTGCATAGTATTCCATGGTGTAGACTATTATTATCACCACTCCACTTTCAGGCTCAGAGGCTGTTGTTCAAGGCCACGCAGTAAGTGGCAGTGCCAGGATTTGAACCCAGGTAAAAGGAGTACGCACCTTAATCCTCGCCTTGTCATCCTCAGCCATCTCACAAGCGGGTAAACAGAGGTGAGGAGAGGATAAGCCAGCTGCCCCAGGCCACATTGCTGGGAAGCCGAGAGGCTGCGATCCAAAGCCACGCTGCCCTGCGGCTAGGGTCCCGGTTGCTAGTTCTCGTGCCTACCTTTCTCCAACGTTCCCAGGCCTCTTTCACCCGGTCCCAGGGGCGCAGGCACCACCCTTTTTCTCCAGGAGGAGCAGGGAGAGGGCGGGTTCCCCAGCGCAGTCCCCTCCCCGACCCTCCCCCAGGCTTTAAGCCGGCGCCGGGGCCAGGCGGGGCAGTCCCGGGCCGGCCCGCTCCGCCCGGAGATCGCGCTGATGGCGGCGCTGGCGGCAGCGGCCAAGAAGGTGTGGAGCGCGCGGCGGCTGCTGGTGCTGCTGTTCACGCCGCTCGCGCTGCTGCCGGTGGTCTTCGCCCTCCCGCCCAAGGTAACGCCTCCTCCGCCAGTGCGCCCCCGGTCCGCCACAGGCGGGATCTTCTCCCAAGCCTCCAAGTTGGGAGACCGCTGAGGTCCCAGTGTAGACAGGCTCCAGTAGACCCCCTCGACCTCCCTCCCTTGCACCTGCCGCGGACCGCTGTGAACGCTCCTAACGCCTCTTCCCTCTTCCCAGCTGCCCCTTAGAGCTTGAGTCCCACTCTGCCTTCTGGGTCTCACTTCCTTGGGAATAATTTCGTTTCGTTTCAGTGACAGGTTCTCACCTGTCACCCAGGCTGGAGTGCGGTGGTGTGATCATAGCTCACTGCAGCCTCCAACTTCTGGACTCAAGCGATCTTCCTTCCGCAGCCTCCCTAGTGGCTAGAACTACAGGTGCATGCCCAGCTAATTTTTTTTTTTTTAATAGAGATAGGGTCTCACTGTGTTGTCCAGGCTGGTCTCGATCTCCTGGAATCAAGCGATTCTCCCACTTTGGTCTCCCATATGCTGGGATTACAGGCGTGAGCCACTGTGCCTAACAGAATTCTTTCTTTCCTGAGGTCTAATTCTGTGCTTGGTGCTGTGTTGCACATTTCACTTGACAGTCACAGTGAACACTTACTGTGTGCCACGCTGTTTGACCTGGGGCAAGTCACTTAACCTCTCTGAACTTCAGTTTACTCGTGTGTAAAAACGGGAGAAATGGTAATGCCCACTAATAGGGCAATATGTGTAAATCTCTTGTAACTAAACATGGTACAGAATAAATGTCTAATAAGCAGTGGGTGGTCTTTTTCTGCACCAGGTCCTTACATGATGAGGACGGTAAGATTCATGAGTGCTTACTAGGGGTGAGGATTTGCCTTTTGCTTATCACTTTATTTAATTATTTCAATGCCTCTCAGAGGGGAAAGATTATTTGACCCATTTTCCAGAGGAGAAAGCCAAGGCTCAGAGAGAGAGTGACTTGCACAGAGTCACACAGCAACTGACTGTGTCGGTATTCAGTCCCTGGCTTGTTGGAATCCAGAACCCTAGCTGTTTTCAGTCTCCCCGAGGAAGTAACACCTATAAGATCAAAGACCGCAGGTGGAGTTCAGGAGTCATAACTGAAATCAACACTAGTAGGGGCTGGAAGGAGATGGTACCACAGGTCCCTTTTGGGTCCTTCACCTGTGCCCACCCCAGCCAGGGCATCATGAGAGGGCACTGGGCTTGTAAGATAAGGCTTTTACCTCCAGGAAGTTGCTTCACCATCTCTCAGTAAGATATTAAATGTTCACAAAAATAAAAGTAAAGAGGAGGTATAATTTAGGGTGCATTACCTAGCACCGATCAGCTGAGACCAGGGAGGTTCTCCTGGAAGAAGGAGCCCTCCGCGGGCACATGCAGTAAGAAGGTGACACCAGGTGGTTCCAAGGAGACCCAGGGCTAACACATAGCAAGTTCAATAGTGTGGAATTATCTAAGCTATTAGACTTTCTCGACATGGAAGAGAAAAACACAATAAATGATGGAATAAAGATGAGGTCACCTTTTCAAAAACCAGCCCACCCCAGGCCACTTTCTGACCTGTGGATCTTAACGTCCTGGACCAATCTCCTTTCCTCTTTGGGTTTTGCTTCCCCGTAAACTGGAGCAATTACACCGCTAGCTTCTGGGATTGATGTGAGAGGCTGAGTAAGGCTTTGTGAAACATCTTTGGTGGAAGTGTAGGTGGCTGAGCCTTGACTGGTTGCTGTCTGCAAGGCCCTAGGCAGAGCTCTCTGGCAAGAAGAGACAAAACACAGGGTCTCTATTCTCAGCAGGGGTCCCGATAGCTTCTCTCTGCTCTGTTCTCTAGCAAGAGCATGAACACAAGAGCAGATCCAAGGGTTATGGGGCCTGGAGCATATACTTGAGGGGGTCTCTTTAAGAAAATGAATACAGATTTACGAATACGAGATTCGGTACAAGGCTTGGGAGAGGCTCTGAAGCTTGAGCTTCACAAAGTATCCTCTTCCTGTCTGAACCCCAACATGCACAATTGAATGGAAGGCAGGGAGAGATAACAGGGAGAGCCCCTGGGATGTAACCGCCCATGATGGTGCTAAGCCTGATGAGGAAGGTGTTTTATTGAATGCTTAGCTCTTACCGTGTGCTAGGGGCCATGCTAGGAGCCTGTCAGGCTTGTCCCATGTAAGGCCCACGACAACCAGAGAGGTAGCTGTTATTTGCATCCCTATTTGACAGGTGAAGAAACAGAAGCTCAGCAGGGTTAGGTGACTTGCCTAAGGGCACATAGCTGCTACAAAGCCAGAATGTCGAGTCTGTACTCGTGTGTGTGTGTGATAGGGTCTTGCTCTGTCACCCAAGCTGGAGTGCAGTGGCACAATCTCGGCTCACTGCAATCTCCACCTCCCCGGCTTAAGCTATCCTCCTGTCTCAGCCTCCCAGAAGGCTGGGACTACCAGCTCCTGCCACCACACCTGGCTAATTTTTATATTTTTAGTAGAGATGGGGTTTCACTATGTCACCCAGGCTGGTCTCAAACTCCTAGACTCAAGCGATCCACCAGCTTGGGCCTCCTAAAGCGCTGGGATTACAGGCAAGAGTCTGTACTTCTTTCTACCTGCTGTGCCTTACATGCTCTTCTTAGTGATAATTCAATACAAACCACTCCTTTGTTCCCTACAGTTCCCTTGTGGGGACCCTTTATATGGCCTTAGATGTCACTGCCTCTTTAAGTGGTTGATGAACCAGGGCCTCCCCCCAGGAGGCAGGTCTGGCTCTTTGGAGGACCTTAGCCTCCCTCAAAATCTCTATCGGCATACCTGAAGCCCCCTCTCCCATATAACAATATTTATATGATTATCATTATTAGATTCTCTGACATTAAGAACAGACGTGTTTCTCAATCTAATGTACAATGTGGATAAAAAGTATCCTTAGAAAACACCACTGTCTTTATTGATCTGGGACATACATTTAACCCATTTCCCATTTAGAAAAAAATAATGTGCAGCTCACTGCCAGTGCAGTATTCTCGGGGCAAAACGGGAAAAAAAAAAAAGCAAGCACAGTATGTTTGCTATGCACACGGAGCTTCAAGACAATTCCAGTCATCTTAACCAGTCGCTCCCCGTGAGAGCCTCCCTAGACAGAGGCTGGTGGACTAACTTCAAAACATGCTTGCTGGGCAATTCAAGACAGGCATCGTTAGCGTCCACTCCAACATCAGATTGCCACTTCTTAGCCTCTTCCACATGGATATTCTGGCGGTTGTATTGTACACATGGGTTACTAACAAATTGTGAAATTGCAGATATCAGATCAGGAAAGAAGTTGGAGGTGCTTGGTCATTTGTCACTTACCAGGCAGTGTGGAGTAGGAGACAACCCCTCTTTGGGGCCTGGGTTTCCAGCTTGATGACGTCTCCTATCCACTGCTGCTTTGCTGTTCTAGGAGTCTGTGGTCGAGAGGGTTGGTCCTCATGCACCTGTCCCTGGTGACTGGTGAGCTTGTCTTCGGGGAGGCTGGAGTCAATCTGCAGAGCAGTGCTGAAAGGAACAATTCTTACATTATGTCCTCTGGCTCAGAAATGCTGTCAGCAGGGATGAAAAGGAGTGGGATGAGCTCTGGAATGCATGACTGCCACTTCCAGCACCACTGGGGATCCTAGCTCTTGCTATGAAGAGTGCTGGGGGCTCAGGAAGTTGGGATGCTACCCCAGGGACTACATCAACGTTTTCCAAGAATGGCCGTCCTGGGAGTTAGAGGTTTGGGGAGTGATCTTAGCTAGTGGACACAGATGGGACTGTTATTAATAAAACAGGCTTGCAAATAAGCTCTAGCCCCACATGTTTGCAGAAAAGACTTGCCCCCTTTCTTGCCTTATGCCCCCTGAGAGCAAATTAAATGATACTGACCACCTCTCCGGGAGGAGTTCTTAACCCTGGGGACTCACAGGTGATTGTAAAGATGCTCTGAGAAGGAAGAGTTTAGGGATGTTCTTGGCAAGGGTGCTACAGAGTGTTGTACAGGTTGTGCACTGCACAAGGTGCTTGAGGAGGTAAGTGAGGCTGAACCAACCTGCATTCCACATGCCAAGCTGTGCACCCTGGTGCAAAGCTTGGTTCCACCTGAGGAAGGACCTTTTATTCTAATTTGCACAAAGGTGTCACGTTGGCCAACAACAGACTTGCTCTGGGGTAGGGATCTTTTGGGGGGATGGTAGTACACCTGTAAGGCCAGAGGCCCCCTTTCTTGCGTTTGCCTAATTTGTGGGCAGGTGGATGACCAGGAAGATGGTCCTTTCATTCCCAGTTTTAAGGCTTTGGAATCAGAACTGCATTCGCATTCCACATACTTGCTGGGCAAGTCATTTTATATTTCTGGCCTTAGTTTCTTCATTGATAACAGAGCCATAATGTTATATTCCTTCTCAGTTATTTTCTAGCCTCCATGAGTTAATACATTGTGCCTGTACTATAAATTCTTAGTTTTTTATGTAATGCTGAAAATATGTTTCAGTTCTCCCATTTTGCAGATGATGAAATTGAGGCTCAGATAAGTTAAATGATGAAGGGAACATGGGCTTTAGAGTTGAGAAGACCTGGATTTGTGTCTTGGCTCTGAAACCATGAAAGAGGGGAACCTGGGCTGGAGACCTTGAATTTCTGAGCCTGAGTCTCATTTGTGAAGTGGGGAGGACTCACACCCTCTCATTCTGTTACGAGAATTGGGGCAAGATACAGGAGGTGTCCAGAGCAGTGCCCAGCATATAGTGGGAGTTTATAATTAGAGCAATAGCCACACATTTTTCTCACATTTACCAAATGCTGTTTTACATGCGTCTCAAATTTCAACTCATTTACTCTTCACATCAGATGTAGGAGGTTCAAACAATAATTATCCCCATTTTTAGAGATGAGGAAAGTGAGGCACAGAAAGGTTAAATTCCCAAGGTCACGCAGCTACTAAACACTACTTCGGTCCCTCCTCCTCCTTCTCTCTTGGTCCTGGATTTTGAAG